CCCCAAAACCCCAAAACCCCTCGATAAAAAATAATGAATATCTCAATGTTTAAATCGTAATCTAAAACTTAAATTCAAATCAGAGTGAGTATTTCTTTGTTTTAGGTAATGCTTATCTTTTAGGTGCCAATTAATCTCTAAATGCCGTGCTCAATCTCAATTGGTTGATATCTTTTTCCCAGCATCATGAGAACATCATTCTTGCTCATAAATTTGCGAGTCATCTGCATCTCTTCAAGTAGTGTTAATATATCCTAGCACACTGAATCTATCTCATAGCACTTCTTGTTCTTATCAAACTCACTTTTGATTGATTTTTCCTAGCTATGGAAGGACTGCTTTACTTATAAATTCTATATAGATATTGTTTAGTAAGTTTTATTTTACCTTAATCATACCATTCATTCTCATTTGACTGGCATAAAATTACTGGAGATGGTGATTTGTGATTTCGTCAAACTAATCGATTTCCTTAATGTAATTACTCATAATAACTTTAGTGTCTTTAAATACTCTAATTGTTCCATATAGTTTTACATAAGTCCCTTCCCTAAAATCAATTCATGATCTAATTAATGCAATGCTTACTTATACTTAAAATCTTTCAGGGCGGGATTTGGTGTTTATTAATCCTTATTCATGAATATTGCCTTTGAGGTGCCAGTATTATCATTTATCTCTATAATTGTCTTCATAGTATCTAAGTGAATATTAGTAGTTCTTCCAACTATAATAACTTCACTGATAGATTCACCGTCAAGCTCACACACATCATCCTGGCCAACAATAAGGTTGCTGATTGTTAAATTATTTATAGGAATATAGAGTCTTTTCTTGTTAACAGCCATTTTATTTAGGTAACCGTAACTATTTCCTAATGTAGTTTAGTGCTACTAACGATCTTAGCATGATCTCTTGAGCTAGCTTTTATCAGGAATAAAGAAGCCTTATTAGTTCTCAGCTTGGTTCATTCTCGGATGCTTTCTTTTTAATTAATCAAATTGACTATCTATTTCATTTGAAAGCTTTTAAACCCTAAAGAAAATCTGTACTTTACAAATTATTTTAACAAAAATTACATTTTAAAACTCACAATCTGAATTTAATTAATGCAGAGATAGTGGGGTTTTGGGGTTTTGGGG